AGAATACACCACCATGGCATGTTTGGGATCTTCATTAAAATTTTGGAAAAGGAAAATCAGAGCAATACATCTTACAGTGTCTTCACCTTGGGCTTGGACTTCCTCCCAGGCAAGCTGTGTGTCACATGGACTTAGTAGTAAACTATTAAGGAAGGTGGTGTGAATGAGACAAGCTCCCGGGAAGTCAGGATAATGACCACCATAGCCATTAAGGGCAAAGCCACTGGTCTCTAGTGGTTTCACAAAATTCCCCATCCAGAGGTTTCCCAAAAGTGTTAGGGAAACCTTGGGGAGGCTTCAGCAGCTTCAAAGTACATTGAGCTTTATTGTAACTACCTGATTACCACTCAAGCATTATTAAGCTCTAGAAATGTTTGAGTTCTGATAAGATTTCTAAACACAGATATCTAAGGGGTAACAGTTTGGAGTGTCTGTCATCTTATCCTAATTTTCTGAGTACTCACTTCTACTCCACAGCTGTATTTTTGTGCAATGCAGTTCTCTAGCCATAAGTGATTAGCTTGGGGTGGACAACTTGACTTCTAGGCCCGATCTTTATTTCAAGAATTTTGAATTGGCACTGGGAATAGTTTGCACTTGTGGTTGAAACTTGATACAAACTCAGGAACTTTGCATGGAGGAAACAAAAAAAAAAAAAAAAGAGAGAGAGAGAGAAGAAAAGACAGATGCTTTCTTGTCCCCTGAGGGTCTTCCAGTCTCCAGAGCACTACATAGCTCTTGGCATCTTTCTAATGAATTTCCCTTTTATGTAAAGATAGCTCAAGTTGATGTCTCTTATTTAAAACCAAGATAGCTTTGACTAAGACAAAGAACCCTCCTGTTTTTTTTTTTAATTATTATTTCCATGCTTACACTTTTGTTTATGTCGTGAGAGGAGGGGGGAACAGGGATAATGGAGAGAGGGTTGCTGCATTGGTCAGACTTCTGAGTTGCAGACAACAGGCTCCACTAGAGTCAGTCTAAGCAGAAAAGGATATATTAAATAGTATTAGATAGTTCACAGAATCTCTGAACAGAAACATTCTTAAAAGCTCCATGACCAAGAACAGAGCAGCCAAGTACAACACACCCAGATGATTGCCCGACTAAACCATGGGATTGTTCTTAGCGGCACCTGTGATGTTAGAGACTGGATGGCAGACATGTTTCCACAGCTACCCCAGGAAACCCAAATGCTTCTTTCACTATGGTTGTTGGAAAAGCCTGTCTGACTGAGAATTCAGCCATTTCCTCAAGTTATTTACTTCCACCTCCAAGTGTCTCATTGGGGTGGGCTGGGAGTGGGTGTAGAGCTTGGGTCACATGCAGATTCCTAACCACAAGAAAGTATGGAAAATACAATTCTTTTATCTTCCAGCCTGTGGTAGATAGAAGGGCAAACTAGGAGATGGTTCGAATGAGTGTTGAGTGAACAAATGTACAGTATCTTCCTCAATGTCCATCACTGTGCTGTGGAGAAAGAAAAGTGGAATTCTTCAAATGTCTTTCCAACTATCAGAAAAATACGCATCATCATAGCTTTGCAGGGAGAATGGGGAGGGAAGGCACAGAGAGTGGGCTTGGGAAGCTCCTACAGATTTGCCATGGGAATAAAGTAGTTTTGAAATATATTAATATATGTTTCTTTTTTGAATTTCCTTTTGTGTGACCATCCTCATCCAGTTAGAGGTGTTTATTGTGTCAGGAATGATCAATATTGTTGAAGTGTAAAGGAAAACAAGGTGTCAGGTTTAGTTTTTGTCTTCCCAAGTAGCATTTAATCCAAAGAAAGACAATAATATTGTCTCAGCTAGCCTTTGCTGAGAGAGAAAAGGAGTTCTTTTTTATTCTCAGACCTCCCTTTCACATACCAAAACCCAACTTGGATTAGAGTTTTACTATGAACACAGCATAGAGAGGACAGAAGATACAAGAAAGGAAGAAGCTGTAGAAAGGCTTCCTCTGCGAGAGAAAGCAGAGAGATTGGAGGGAATTCACTCAGGGTGGGGATGCTGTTAGGTCCCTGGAAAGGCACCTCCAACTCTCCAGACTTCAATCAAAGGGTGAGGAAGAGGAAGATGATAGAAACCACAGATAGTGTGGGTGTGAGAGAGTCTGAGAATGTCTAGGCTGATGGATGTTCAGATAGAGTGGCCTGAGATGCTGTCTGGTAATAAAGATTCTCTCTTTGACCAAACTTTGGTCAGGCTCTTCTGAGTCCTTTCCTTCACTAGACCTTGACCTTGGTCTCATCCTGACTTTGGGCTGCGTAGCCCAGTTTTAATCAAGGATCTTGCTAAATCATTCCCCACCCTAGACATTTGATCAAGTTCCTCATCAACCCACTTTGATGTATAAGTCCTTAGCCTGCCTTTAGCAAGAATGCTGTAAGGTCAGTTTAGCAAGAATGCCGCCTACCCTTAATGTCTCTTCTTAGTAATTTTTCATCCACCAACTCCTTCACTCTGCTCATTGACTATAAATCCTCAGCTGTCTCTACTGTATTCAGAGTTGAACCCAATTTCTTTCTCCTATTGCAATAGACGTCATCTCTACTACAGAGTCTTGAATAAAGCCTTCCTTACCATTTTTACAAGTGTCTGGATAATTTTTCTTTAATGCTGGTCCCCAGCATCTCCAAATGGTACGTAGGAGAACCCAGGGTTCCACATGAACCTGAAAGGGGTTCACAGAAGTTTTGATAAAACAGTGATTGTGCAGAGGCCTAGGGACAAGACAGTGTGATCACAAAGGGTAGAGGCTTCACATCTTGAGGCAATGGCGGGGACCCCAGAGTCCAGCAGTGGGCCAAGCAGGACTAGCCACACCTTGGCGGATACCAGCAGAGGGCATCAGAGACCAGCCCAGCCCAATGAAGACCTGCTCTCTGGAGAACTAACGTGCCCTCTCTCAACCACCCTCACTCCTGAGAGGCCGTCTTGGAAAGGAAGAGGGAAAAAAGGGCCCCCTTGAGAAATTTGAAAAAATTAGCACTGAGAAGGCACTTAACTTTGAATTGGTTGAATTCAAAAGATTACCCCCAAAAGAATGAGTTAAACTGAAAGAGACTCTCCTAAAAGCAGAAGAGACTGAGGTTTAAGTTTTTTTTTTTTAATTGTCTCTGCTACTGACTGGGAATGGGGCCCCCTAGCAAGTTGGGATAGATAATAGATAATAACAAAGAGCTACATATTTTTTTTTCACATCTGAGTTGTAAAGTTTACATTTCAACCTCCCTGAGTGTAGACTGAGAAAACTGTACGCCCCTTTGGAGCAGCGTCTGATGTTGGTTTGGAAATGGCTTGGTAGCCTAATGAGAGTCCGGAGAGGATGATATGAGTTGGAAAGGATAAAGGTAGTCGTTTTCTTTTCCTGGGAGCCAAGGTTGGCTTTGCAAGGACTCCTAGGTTTCTGGTGGGCCTAGAAAGAAGACCAAAGGTCTGCTCAGCCAGCTAAAGGTACTGAGTGCCAAAGCTGAGGGAGTGGATGGCTGGGATGAGGGTCCACAGGACCCTCAATGCCAGCAGAAGGGGACCTGCGGGGGTATGTCCAATGCCTGTGGAAGAGGGGCCCTGATGGACAATTGTGACCACCCTTTCATAGCATGAGGCAGCCAGAGGCAGGATGCTGCCAAGGCCAGAGACCAGCCAGGGAAAGAGAACAACAGAGAACAAACCGCAGGGCTTCCCAGCAGTGGATGTCCACCCACTGCGCAGGGACCAGTACGGCCACCAGAAGCCCCTCTCCCGTAAGTGTGAGGACCTGACTGAGCATTTACTCAAAAGAAATTGATTTCATTTGAAAGTGTAAACCTGAGATAGGCAGATCATTTTAACTGGCAAGTTTAATTTTATTTCTCATAGTTTACTGTAGTGACAAAGAGCATAAAGTCTTGGGTGACCTGCTCTTGAATTGGCACTGTTTGCTAGCTCTGTGGCCTTGGGCAAATAGCTTAAATCTCTGTCACTGGCTGCTCATCTTCTAAATGGGGATCCTGATAGTACTTCCTCCTAGGAAGTGTGAGGACTAAATGGTTAATATATCTCAAGCACTGAAAAGAGTGCCGGGACACATAGCAGTCACTGTATAAAGGTTCACTGTAACAATTGCCCTACAGGATGTGGATTCACAAGGAAGCTGGAATCTGTTATAGAAACATTAAAAAAAAAAAAACTCCACATGTTTGCTCCATCTCATCTGTGGTGTGTAAATTTTGGACCCCATCACAGACAGATCCTTGGCTCCAATAGCATCACACCTAAGGCAGCGGCCCCAGGGGGTAGTATGTCAAAAGTCCTGCTTCATTCAGGAGGCTAAGCTCAGAAACCTCAGCTTCTGAAGTCTGTCAATATGCACCCACACACCCCTCTTTAGAGTGATTTCTTTTAGCATTCAGGATGGTTTTCAACCCAGAGACAACAGGCTGCCCCCCTGCCTTGGTCTTACTGCCTGTTTTAGTTGCTGTTCTTTTATCTCTCACAACTGGGTGAAGTTGCTCCCTGAATTTTTATAGCACTTCAGGAAGAGGCGGGCTATTGTTACAAGAAGAACATTTAAGTATATTGTTCACTTTTTTTGAACAGAGATTGTTGATGTTATTTTTAAATTCTAAACCTTTGGGGGCAGTAAGAGTTTTAGGAGAACAAACTCTTTAATGCATAATGAGACTGGATCTGTGCTATTATAAAATGGGAGAGCCCTGGTGTCAATTGCCTGTGGTAGAACGTGGTGTTAACCAAACTAAAGTCAGGCTTCTATCTTAGCATGGGCTGAGGCTAACTGTATCCCCTGCTCCCTGGAGTCAGACTCTCAGGTTGCTGCCTATGGATTTGTTCAGGCATTTACTCATTGAGGAGGTAGTGGGGACAGGTGGAGAACCCTCTGTGTACCTACCATTTGCTGAGCACTGGTCACATGCCAACATCGTACCAGGCGCTCTGTATTAAATACTGCATTGGTTTCTTAGGGCTGCTAGAACAAATTATCACAAACATAGTGGCTTAAAACAATAGAAATTTATTATCTGATAGTTCTAGAATCTAGAAGTCTGAAAATAAGTTGTTAGCAGGGCCATGCTCCGTCCCAAGGCTCTAGAAGAAAAAGAAATCCCTTCTTTCCTCTTCCAGCTTCTGGTGGGTCCAGGTGTTCCTTGGCTTGTGGCTGCATTGCTCCAGTCTCTGCCTCTGTGACCCCATTCCTTTCTCCTCTTCTTTGTGTCTTCTTCTGTCTTAGACACTCGTTATTGGCTTTAGGCCCTATCTAGAAAATCCAGGGTGATCTCATCTCAGGATCCTTAATTATATCTGCAAAACCCCCTTTTCCCAAATAATGTCACATTCACAGGTTCTGAGTTTGGGACATAGATATATCTTTTGGAGGTTTCACCATTCAACCTACTGCCGATACCTCTGAAATTCTCACAATTTCTGAAATCATCCATCATTATCTCAAAATTGAACTTCAAAACATTTTCTTAAGTTATTCGGGGTTACACTTTTTGTAAGTGACAGAGCTGATTTAAATGCGGGATTGTCTTGTTTCAAAGCTGTTGTTCTTTCTAGTGTATGATACTAAAAACGACAGCAATAATCAATGATCTTAGCTGACATGTCCTGGATGCCTATGGATCAGGCACTATGCTAGTATAAGAAGTATTATTTCTAAAGTTCCTAATAACCCTACAGTAATGTCTTCTTATTCACAATATATAGATGAGGCAACAGAGAGACTCAGATGAGTTAAAAAGGCTCAAGGTCATACATATAGTAAGTGGTCAAGCAGGAATTTGAAATCAAAGGGAAACCAAGTCAAATGACTTTAGAGAAATCTTCAAAGCACTGAGGAAACTGACAGATAGTAGGTTAGCAGCATTACTTTCGGCAGATGAAGAATTGGCTGTGTCTCTTCCAAGGGCATTAAAAATTCCTGAAACATTTGGGATCAATTTAACCCTACCTGGTGCAGTGTGATATGGGGCGATTTCCACATTGTAGGAGAAGCAGAGATTTGGGGCATTTTCTTCTTTTTCCAGCCCTTCAAGCCAGTCTCTATTGTCAGATCCCGTCCAGTTGACTTTGCCCAGTTATACAAGACTGTCTTTGATGCTACAGAAAGCACAATCACTCTACTTTGAAAAGCATTTAAGCATTTTCAGAGCTCAGTCTCATTTCATTTCATTCTTAGAACAGTCCCTGAGGTTAGTAGGGTGAGTATCATTATCCTCATTTACAGTCCAGGAGCCTGAGAGTTTCCAAGTGAGTTGTAACTATTTGCTTCACACAGAGGCAGAAGCAACTTGAAGCCTGACTATTTGAATGCAATTCTTATTCTTTTTCCAGAGCACCAAACCTGTTTTAGATTAAGGAAAAAATTCCAAGAAAAAAAGGGAAAATTTGGCTACCATTAGCTTTAGGTAGGTAAAACACACACATATTCTCTCTCTCTCTTTCTCTTTCTCTCTCTCTCTCTTTCTCTTTTTCTTTCTCTCTCTTTCTCTTTCTCTTTCTCTCTCTCGTTCTCTTTCTCTTTCTCTCTCTCTCTCTTTCTCTTTCTCTCTCTTTCTCTATCTCTTTCTCTCTCTATCTTACACACACACACACACACACACACACTCACACACAGAGTGGTAAAAAGGTCTCCTTTCTCTTTTCAGTCTTGAGAATAAATGATTGCATTTCCCCACTGGTACTCAGAAGTGATTTGTAATTGAGAATTCTTTCTTAAGGGCAGAGGGCTCTTTTGTATGACCTTATTTTCCTTGCAGTTCCAAACAAGTGGGCTCAGCATGCCCTATTATGTCCAGACTGGTGTTTACAGTCCCATTTTCAGATGATAGATGTTACTTTATAATGTTAAACCTGTATTACACAGTTCTCAACCCCTCTTCCAAAGACTGGGCTGCATATGCCAAAACTTTATGATGACAAATCATAGAATTGGAAGGAAAAAAATGTGATACTCAAACCCTACTAACTCAGATAATATACAGAAATATTGGTAAGCCAGTGGTACTCAGTCTTCATTGTTGAGAGGCAGGCGATTTTCTAAATAATGTTACAGAGAAAAGAATTTAACCCTAAGTGCATGATTGCCCGCCAGAAGAATTCTTCTTTAACTGAAGTTTGAAGGGTCCTTCTTTTCTCTTGAATCATTATCTCTACACAAATCTTCTGTGCCTCCTTAGACACCATGGCCACTGCCTCCTTCTAGGACCTTCAACTACTCAACCACCATACCTGCCCAACAGAGTTCAACTGGCTGGGACTGACCAGGGACTTATCTTAGAAGTTCCCTTAACTCTTCACCCCTCAACCACACACACACACACACACACACACACACACACACAAGCACACACGCACGCACACTGCCAAGCCACCTAGTACTCACCTAGAGGTTCTTGCTCTTCCCATCGTTTCCAGACTTGAATGAAACAGGAACACCATACATACGTCAGGTTTGCGGTTTGGCATCCCATGTAGTTGGAGCAGTCATATGATGTAAACTTGGAAATGTGAGGGAGTTAATTCTTAATTTTGACCAATGAAAAACAGGCAATGGGAGGTAGGTGGGAAGATAAACTTCTCCTTTATTCTTCCCAGAGAATGCTAGAGGCATGGTCCCTCCCTGCATCCACTGCAAGATGTCCCACATGCCAAGGGAACAGACCTGCTGAGCCTCCCATGCCTCATCATCCAACGACTCATCCCGAAGCAGAAGCCAGTTGTGCAAGGCATGACTTTGCATTGTTTCCTATACTCACTTCCCTTTTTTCCTTTTTCTGCAGCTTCCCTGGCCTGGGCTTGTGCTTCCCAAATAAAATATCAGCACTTTAGTCCTTGCTTCAGGCTGTCTTTTTCCCTAGAAAACTAAAGCCGTATCTTATTAGACTGTTACCGAGCATGCCTGATGGGTTGGTGTCCTCACTTCCAGTCACTGACCCCTTTCCAGTGGAATCCAACACTGAAGCACAAGTCAAATGTGGCACTCCCTTTCAGCGGGCTCCCACCATCTGTAAAATAGAGCCCATACTCTTATCGTCTGGTGTTAATAGCTCTCTAGATTTCGTCTCAAACTAATTTCCCTGTTTTAGTTTCAGTGATTTTTAAATTCATATACCCTGTTCTCTAACTAAACTGAACTACTTGAACCTTTTTTTATTACCCTGTATCTTCTGACCTCCGTGCCCTTAATTATGCTTTTCCCTGAATCTGAAATGTTTGCACTTACATCTCCTCTCTATGTTTTAAATTCTGTCCATCAACGGCAAGCTCAAATGTCATCTTCTCAGATTAATTACCAATTCCCTCCTCTCTGCTGCCAGCCCACAAAATTTAATAATCTATTTTTTTGGAACCCTCAAATCATCTTGTCTGTGCTTCTCTTGTGGTACTTCTTACTTTTTACCCTATGTTATAGTATTTTGCGATATTTCTTCTCCCCAGTTAGACCATAAGCTCCTTGAGAGTACATCTGACTGATTCATCTTTGTTTCCCAGAGGCCTGGCATGGTAACTTGCACATAACTAGTGTTTAAGAAAATTTTATGAAACAAATAAACAGTGACTGGGCATGGTACCCCATGTTTGTAATCCCAGCACTTTGGGAAGCTGAGGCGGACAGATTATTTGAGTCCATGAGTTCGAGACCAGCCTGGGCAACATGGCAAAACCCTGTCTTTACACAAAATACAACAATTAGCCAGGCATGGTGGCACATGCCTGTAGTCTCTGCTGCTTGGGAAGTTGAGGCAGGAGGATCATTTGAGCCCAGGCTGCGGAGGTTACAGTGAGCTTAGATCAAACCATTGCGCACCAGTCTGAGCGACAGAGTGAGACCCTGTCCCAAAAGGAAAAAAGAAATAAACAGTGTACTTTTATATAAAAGCCCAGGATTGTGGTTAAAAACTGATTAAATTAAATATTTCTTATCTTACACCCTAGATCCTTAGTTTTTCAGGGATATACAGGAAAAAAAATGGCCGCAAGGATGCTTCTATTTGTAAGTTGAAAGGTCAGGAGATATTAATAGTTTGAATACTGTGGCTTTCTGCCTGGGGCCATCAGACAGAACATGCATTTAGCAAAATAGCATTTTGCTGACCTTGGACAGTTGGCTAAGATGCAGTACTGAATGATCTAACTTCTTAAGAAGTGACTAATCTACAAGCCTTCTGAATCATTGTTCCTTCCTGAAAATGGAGGAAAAGTTTGATAAAGAAAAATTCCAGGCTGAGAGGATTGTTACAGTTTTTTTACAACATTGTAAAGTCTAACAAACAGCACAGCAAAAAGCCAAACAAACAAAAAATGTATATTCTATTTAAACTTATATTATTTATAGTCATTCTACATTAATCACTTCTAAGATAAATGAGATCTTCATGGAAACAGCAGGCAAAAACATTGGCTGATTATTTATCTCGCATGAAATGCTAAACTATGAAATTCAAATATATTTGGAAAATTCAATCATATATTTTTTTCTTAATAACAACTAATTAACTTATAGAGAAACTCATGTAAAAATTCAATAGCATTTGAAAAGGAAATAAACAGCACTAATGAGCTTTATTATAATGCTTTCCCATGTATGATGTGCATTTGTGACTAACATCTGTTGGATAGTATTTGAGATTAGGAAAACTTGTTTTATTAAAAAAACAGGGAAATTTTACTTAATAAGTTAATATGGATGGGAAATCTATTTTTAAGAAGTTCCATTTGTGAAAAGGTATAAATACATGGTCACACATAGTTACATTTTGTTGACAGAAATAGGTTTTATTAGATCAGTAGACTCTGGCAACAAGGATGTGGTCAGCAAGACATTCTGAGGAGTAGCCATGATGAAGAGAAAGAAGTCATCAAGTTTTCCATTCTTACAACCACAAAAGAGAGAGAAGAAATGGGGTTCAGTTGGGACAACAACAGAGGTCATATAGAAATGGCTGGGCTGGAGTTCAAAGGACACGGTGAGCCTATGAACTCAGGAATTCCCTGGGCAGATTTCCATCTGTGGTTTGTCCTGAGGGCACCATCATGGCCAACATAAGTAAACCAGGTGTTTGTGGATCCATGTTGCCTCACCCATCCTGTGTGTAATCATTCACTGGCGTGGAATACAGCAGGGCTATTCTTTACAGGGCTTTTGTGGGCTGGTTTCCATTGGGAATCACTGTGATAGCCGCTACCCAGTGGTTCTCCTTGCTCCTTATTTCTGCTAAAACGGGATGTGTTTTCCCAGAGGAGTCAGCAGCTGACTAAACCAAGCGACCACAGTCTGGGGTAGGCTCACAAAGGCCCAGTTCTGATGAATGCCCCCATAAATAAAAGGGTTACACTTTTTGCTGGCATAATTCCAAGAACTTGTGCTTTATGGCTTCCTCTTAAACTAGTCAAAAGAAGCTGTTCCATGTTTTATACCTATGTATTAAGCTGGTTTCCCAGCCACTGTTTTGCTTTTGTTTTTTCCCAGAAAACTCGGAGGCCCCAGAGTATATGCAACAGTTTCAGTGCATCCTTGGAAGACCTTTTCTACCTTCTCGATTGTGACGTTTTTTCTTAGCTTCTCCGCAGTGCTTACCATACAACCAAATTAATTCACTGAATTAAGTATGCTCTGTGTGAGATGTGAACAAAGCAAAAGCTGCTGGGAACAGAGTTAGTACAAAATAAGATGTAAAATTCTTCCACCCTCACAAACAAACAAGACCAAAAACTAGGATCTTGGGTTTGACATTTTGTGGCTCTTTTAAAATTCCAAAATATTCCTTATGCATTAAATAGGGACAGTGTAATGCTCAAAATTGGGTTAAAGATCAAGGATTCCAAGTAAATCCAAAATAAAGATGATTGAAAAGAGCTAAAGAATTTTGGTGAATTTCCAAGAATTCCAACTTTTTGGTTGGGTTTGTTTTGTTAATAATTATACCCCTTATAGCAGAAAAACTTAGGTCCAAACCTACAAACAAAACCTTCAGTGTAATGTTTTTATTATTCCCAGAGGAGCAAGATTGCTGAGAACCTATCCACTTGACCAATTAAAAACTAGTCACCATGCAGAAAGTGCATTCTTAGAATGCCTCATGGAGTGACTCTTCTGTCTATGAGGTGTTTTTATTTTGTATGGACTTTAGTTTGGGATTCCAGCAGTCAGGAATGTCTAAATCTACATTCTCCCCAGAGTCCATCTGGTCCCCTAGAGAACAGTGAGAATTAAATATTAAACCACGGTAATAATGCTAATCTCAATGATGAATATCTACAGTTTAATGTTTAATCCTTACTATGCTCTAGGGCATTTGACTCCAAATACCTGTGTGATAATGGTTAAGTGGGCAACCCCACAGTTACCTATTCCTTTACTTGTAATACCTTCCAATTTTATAGCTCTTAGAGTAACACTTTCATTGTAATAATCTCATTTAATCCCCATAACAACCCTGTGTGTTATGTATTATTATCATTATATGTTCACAAATGAATTCTATGAGATTAGGTGACTTTCCTAAATCTTACAGCTAAGTTAAGTGTCAGAACTGATACTGGAATGATAACATACAGCTCCCTGTCCCAGCACTTGCTTACAGCCACAGTTACCTTCCAGGTAATTATTAATACTTTCGAGATACATTCTCAAAGGAACACTTTAAGAAAAGTTTTTTCTATCATCACAAATTAAATGGACTTTGGTACCTAAGACAGGTCAACCATTGTTTGGTGCAGAATGACCTAGAATTTAATGACATATGATCTACCAGATTGTAAAGGAAACTGAAAATATGGAGGAGGAGCAGCATAATTAAAGAAAAACCAAGCAGTAGATTTTTACTGCTCAGCTTTATTTTTAAAAAGCTAAATATTTAAGGTTATTTAAAGTCATTTTGAAGCTGATACCATGGTTTCAAAACAATGTCTAAATGAGGCCTTTTTGGGGCTATGCAAGTTGTTGGAACTATGGACCCTTTTTCACCAGCAGGGGGCAGTAGGCATTTCCCCATTGTTGTCCTCCTGTTGTACTAAGCGCCCCAGGCCTGGCTCCCCACCACCACCCTCGACCAGGAGTCTGAGGATAACACAATAGAGTGTGCTGACTTGGTTTAATTCCTGAAAGTCTCGAGCTCTAACACTCTCTAGTAGAATGCATCATGGTATTGGGTTTCTCTACAAATTTTATATAAATTCCAGGAATTGGGAAGAAAAAGTTCAAGGGTGTGCAATTAACTTTTGTTATTCAAAATCAAAATAAGCTACTAAAATATTTTTGTTAATTGTTGGAAGTCCAATTTGTACTTATCTTTAATGAACAAGGAATGCCAGAGCCTACCAGGGACATTGATGGTAATAGTCAGCTCACTTTCTTTCGTTTTTTTTTTTTTTGAGGCTGAGTTTCATTCTTGTTGCCCAGGCTGGAGTGCAATGGTGCGATCTCGGCTCACCACAACCTCCGCCTCCTGGCCTCCTGGGTTCAAGCAATTCTCCTGAGTAGCTGGGATTACAGGCATGCGGCACCACCCTCAACTAATTTTGTATTTCTAGTAGAGACAGGGTTTCTCCATGTTAGTCAGGTTGGTCTCGAACTCCTGACCTCAGGTTATCTGCCTGCCTCAGCCTCCCAAAGTGCTGAGATTACAGGCTTGAGCCACAGCGCCCAGCCTAGTCTGCTCACTTTCTAGAGCGAATCCTTTTCCCTCTACTCTGCGAAAAGAGCTGAATAAAGAAAATCACAAATTTATATCAACCTGGGCAGTTGAGTTACAAGTCAGTTATGTCCAGGCCAGCAAAATGGCTGAATGCCTAGATAGTAAGATTATTATGAATAGTGGTAAAGCCTAAGGAATGTAAGAAACAGAGATACCCCTAAAAGAGAAGCAAGGTGCACACAAAGTCCCCATAGCACCTGTGAGAATGACCTCTAGGGAATCTTGATCCTTCCTCTCATCTCCAGTGCCCAACCCTTTCCATTTTCTACCTCCCCAGACACAATCAGACAGGCGGTAAAACCAAATCTGTCAGAAAGCACTGATGTATTTTAAGCTTGTAGGGGAATTTCAAGGAGAAAAGACTCATAGCTCAGGGCCCCTGGGTCTCAGGCTATGAGCTGATCCTGAAGCCAGAACCTGGTAACCCACCTAGGTAAAATAAACCTTGTTACCTTCCTAGGTTCAGTAATTGGGTCTACAAAATAAACTGATAGGCTGGGCGCGGTGGCTCACGCCTGTAATCCCAGCACTTTGGGAGGCCGAGGCGGGGTCAGGAGATCGAGACCTTCTTTTTTGTTTTATCTGTTT